CCCAAAATTTTGAGAAGTGTTGCCTCATCAAAATAACACATTTTTCAATGGAAATACTCTAGTTCTGAGTAATTTTTTGTAATTCCAGATCCAGAATAAAATTTTACATTGAGGAAGAGACCAATAAAGTGGTTCCTGTCTGTAGCTGGGATTCAGGAAACCCAATTTTGAGACCAAGACAGCCAAATAGGTTTCACAGAACAGTTTTAGTTGTTACTCCTGCATTTCTATAAAGAACTGATATTTCGAGAAGGGTATAAATGTGTGCCATTTATGTCTCAGTATTACAGATACTGTGCATAACAAGTGATGGCAGTGACAAAAAGAATAGTTTTCATCTTCCTGTCTTTTAGTACTTTGTTAGCAGCATTCAGATTTCAGGCTGGTCATTATCTCGGTGGTTTGATCTTGAGAGACAGCGGTTATGAATAGGGGCAGGGATAGAACCGCAACTCTCCCGCCGAGACGGAAATCTCTTCCTGATTGAAGCCCATGACAAAACTCCCATCAACTTCAAAGGAGAAGGATTTCAAGCACGGCAACCTGAATGCATCTGAAATCCACTGTTGGGCAGTTTGGAAAGGTCAAGGTTTTTTTCAAAGATTAGTGAGGAAGAGAAAAAGGCTGAAAGCAAATCATGACTAGCATAAAGAAAAGAGGAAGTTGACAACCGAGTTCACAGTTCGTTGCTAAATCTGTGTTTATTAAGGAAGCTGATTTTTGTGAAACCTGATGTAGGCATTCAGCTGGCTCAGGTATTTCTGCTTAAAATGAGAATGGGATTATTTCTCCTTTGGTTTGATGTTATGGAAACAAATATCTAAGATTTAGTTGCTATAAACAGTACCTGTAGCACTATGGTGGCTGTTTACTTACCCAGCATTTTCTGCAGAGAGAAGTCAAAATTTCCCAGCAGTAGCACCTGCTGAAGTTTTTAACTTAAATATCTCATAACTTCTAGTCTCCACATGTTGCTCATCTGTGTTATTTTAAAAAAAAAAAAGGTCTTCAGCAAAAAGTGCTTAAAATTTATCTTAAAATTAAATATTTTAAAACCTTTTGCAGAGGAGAGACTAAATGAGAAATGAAAGTTTAGAGATTTTGACATGAATTTAGTGCTTGATCAGTATATACACAAGGAGTTTCATTTATAGCCTTGTTATTTAAATCTAGTCTCTAAACTCCAGTGACCTCTCATACCCTGACTTTGGTATTCAACAACGGAAAAATAACCCTCAGAATTTCAGTTTTGCTCCTCTTTTTCATACTGGAGCAAACCCAAACCCTATCAGACTTACAAAGTTCAGGAAGTTTAAGGGGTTTATTAGGGGAGCATAACCTCTTTCATAAAGCCACAAATGAACTCATTAAATTAATGTCTGCCTTGCAAGTCTATAGGGAGCATACAAGCGGCGTAAGGCATTCCCTCTCCATGGATGAGATGGGTGCTGGTCCCAATGAGAGCTCTCAGGCAGGCTTTTAGGAGGGGAGGAAAGGCTGTGGGGGGAACAGGGCTCTGCTGCTCTGAAGCAGCGGGCGGCGCTCGGGCACAGGCTTCCATGGAGCATGAGCTTCAAAGTGCTGAAGAAACCATTTGTTACTCTATCAGGGCCTAATAAATGAAGTTTTGGGAGGGGGATGATGATTAAAACAGATAAAGCAGGAGCACTGCTGCTCATCTTAGCTTCTCTAGCTTGTATTTTTGCCCACTTGCTTACCCATCACAGTTGAGTAATAACTCCAAAGCAGCAGGTATGCTGAGGCTTGCTGTTGTGCTATTCCTGTCTTCACTGTCAAAACAAGCAAAACTGAAGCCTAAAAGTGAACCTCGGGCTTGTAACTACTTGTGCAAGAGCAGCCTTGCATCACTATTTTCCTTATTGCTTCCCTTTCTGTTATTTTTCAGTTTCTTGTTTGTAAATCACTTGGGCACAGAGAGGAGTAAACGGGACAAGGTATGGGTGTAGCAGCACATCTTTAGCTGCACCAGGCCCTAAAACTGAGTTTATAGCAAGGGTCCATCTCCCTGAACTGTGTAACTCAAAGGTTACTCATCGAATTTGATGTTAGGCAATAAAATACTTACGAGGGCCTGAAGTGACTGAAGTCTATACGCTGATGAAGACATTCCTCTAAAAAGCTCACTTGGGATGCTGGTGGTGAAGTTTTAATTAATCTGCCTATGGCTTGGACCTGATTCAGGAAAGTACTTTGATTTGAGCATGTGCTTAATTTTAAGTGTCATGACAAATAGTAACGTACTTCAAGTTCCTCCGTGCTTTCCCAAGCAGAACTCTGTACTGACATGGATTCAGGAACAATGTGGAAAGAAGTTAGGAAAAGTTTATGTAGTGAAAGAAGGTGAAGGATTTAAAATAAATGTGTGAACTGGAACAAAATTCATAAGCAGGGCTATGCATTTGCAGCACGGAAAACATATCTTTCCAAAGGGTATCACAGGTACCTGTTTCTAGGAAATAATTTTAAATACAAGCTTATAGCCTGCAAGTAAACTGGCTTTAGATGGTATATATTAGTGGCTATTAAACCACAGAAAGGAGGGTTTGTGCTATTAGGATTTGTTTCTCCGGTTAGGAAAACACTGGATACCGGTGGTATGAACCTATGGCTGCTCCCCTCCCTCCCTACTCCCAGTCTGTTTCTATTTTTTGAGGTAAGGGAGGGAAGGAGGAGAGAGATAATAAGTGGTGTAAACTTCCAAGTTTCTGAAGCTGCTCAGTATTCATTTTCAGCTGACTGAGGAGTAGTACTGTCCCAAAATATAATTTCCATCTACAGTACAATTTGACTGAGATTCAAGTACATATTTATGTTGATAGAAAAAGAATCATAGAATCATCGAATGCTTTGGGTTGGAAGGGACCAGTAGAGGTCATCTAGTCCAACCCCCCTACAGTGAGCAGGGACACCGCTAACCAGATCAGGTCGCTCAGAGCCCCGTCCAACCTGGCCTTGAATGTTTCTAGGGGAAATATAAAGAAGGAGTATAAATATAAAGAAAATATAAAGCTGATTTTGATTCAGATAGTCATGAGTTTGAAAAGCGTGGCCTGGGTTAGCTTGTTCTTCTCAGATTTAAAGAAGCAGTTTGCAGCACGTCACCAATAGCCAAGTTACTGTTATTACTGATTTGTAACATTAATTCTCCTGCTTCACCTCCAGGTGTTAGTGCCTATTCTAAGCAATAAGGAAAACCATATGTCCTGGCCGGGTTGTGTTTCCCAGGATATGGAGCATTGTGTGGAAACGATGAAAAATAAAACACAAATTATGAAAGGACTGATGTCAGGAGGAACTCATCTTCCTATTCCCACAGTTGCAGTGTAGACTGACTTACATCAACTATATGCTGAAAATAAGTAAGGAAAGGTTGTTGTGTTGTGCTTTTGGTGGTTTTTAATCTCAGATGTAAACCTGTAGTAAATTGCATTAACAAGAAAGTAATTAAATATTTAGTGTTCCAAACATATTTTTGTCACTCCATTTTTTCTAAGCATTAAAAGGTGTCTTAAAGTATTTTATGTGCAATTAATGTATTTTAAACACTGCAATTGCTCTGTCATATGAAAATATAAATTTCCAAGGATTTATATTTTGTGTTTATTAATTTCAAAGGCAAGACTTAAGCTGTCTGTAGAGTCACTGGGATTTTGAATCGCATGAAGCTATGTTTCCAGAGTACAAAATAGGGTTATTCTGTAGAATTACCTTTTAAATGTGTTTCCAATAGATTGCAGTTCTTTGTTGCCTTGAGTGTGTAATGTGAACTGAACTCTTATCATAAAAGGTGTCTTATCATTTTTAATGAGATTTGTACTAATGTCAAAGGATAGCATCAAAAAGGAGCATGGCACTAATCATTGGGACATATCTGTTACCTACAGAAACAGCAATAATACAAGCTACATCCCAGAGAACTCACAATTTAAGTAAACCAAAGGCTTGGTTTCAGTCTAGGACTGACTGTGTACAGAGATGATTGATAATCAGTTGTTGGATAAGCGAAGATTCATAATCCTGTCAATAATAAATGACTTTGAAGGCCCTGGTCAGGGTCAGCTCCTTACCATATGCCATGGCAGAGAAGCAGGTGGGCCAGGCAGCAGAGTGTAAGGTAGTATGGAGATAAAACTGAGGCACAAGAGATGAATTAGCTTAAATGAAAGGACTGAAGGGGAAAAAATAGAGTGTGAAACTGAGAATGTAAACTTTAATGCTCCGTTAATATTTTATTAAAATGCTTTGCTGTGTATTGTTAGTTCTTCTTCTTGTAAACACTGCCAAAGTGTAATAAATTTATATTAAATAAAATCTGTTTAATATTTATGTTAACTATCAGCATTCATTCAAACACCAAATTACCATGTAACTTATTAGAAGATTAAACAGTAAAATTCAGATTTTTCGCATCTGGAATAATTGCAAGGAACCATTCAAAGGATCTGCTGCCAATAATTTCTGAGAGGGTATTTGGCTATGGTTCTGAAGAGCAAATACATCTGGAAGTGTGATCTGTGTCTTCATAAACAGACTTTTTAGCTCTGTCTTCAGGGTTTTTTTCTGACTATTTTCCTCTTATCAGAACTCAAATCCAAATTTCCATGTTGTTCATACTTAAATGTAAAGGGGAATGGAGGGAGAAGAGCTCTGTACTATCACAGTACAGTATTTGCTTTGAAATTGAGGGGCTTTTTTCATATTTTGCAGACAAGATCCTAATTCTAGGGCAGTACTAAATGCCATCAAATCGATGGTTATTAGGTGTTCACATCAGATTTATGACACTGTGAACAGGGATTCTGCTGTTTTTTCCTTCTGCATGGCCTTCATCCAGACCCCAAACTGAGCTGAACTTCTGGAAAGCAAGAAAACACAATCTTTTATATATAAATAAGCAAGTAAGCGATTTCAGGTATTACTGAAAATGTCAAAGAGAACTTTCTTTTGGTTTGCCTTTCCCCATGCACTCTGAAAAATGAGACATTTTTCTGTTGTTCTATTTTTGCAAATAGCTTGTAGGGGTTTCCCAAAGTAATCAGACTTTGCGTTAAGTTACCAAAGAAAAACAGAATTAAACATTAGAGGGTTAAACATTAGAAAGTGCCATATGGAATTCTGTTGTTCTTGTCCATCTTTTCTAAGTTTCTTCCCATGTCATTTCTCAAACTCTGGAGAAAATGAGGTTGAGAACAAAGTTTCTATTTGGGAAGTATTGCCAAATTTGGACATGAAACTGATACTGTTGTTTAATGATAATAATCATAGCTTGTTACAAGTGAAAAAACTCTTTTTAATCGAAAAAGGTATGCAAGGCTATTTACTTTCCAAATATGAGTTGTTGTTGGGAGCTGCGTTTAATCGTCTGCTTCTTCCATGCTTGTTATTAGCAATGTTGCGATGTCAGGTGAACATTATGAAGACCCCTGTTCATGCCCCACTGAAGGCTTTTGGGGCCTTTCCATGGATTTCAGCTGGCTTGGATCAGCCTTTATCTGCTAGTACACCTGAGACATCTTCATTCATTAATTTTCTGAGTGCAACTGTAAGTTGCCTGAATTCTCCCTTCTACTCTTTCTACTCTTTTGACAGGCAACCATGATCTTTAATTGCTTGCTTGCTTCTTTTTTAAATTATAGCTTCAGATTCCTGTTGTTTGAAAAATGATTAAAATCTTAAAAGCCAAAGAAAGCAGCTATTATCCTGCTTCTCAGGACATTTTCAAGGAAGTAGAAGATGGTGAGGGTAGAGTGAATGAGATATATATTTTGTCTGTGCTTATATGTGTGTGTTATAGAATAATCCATAATTTGTCTTGACATAACAGTGTAAGTCATGATGGTGAGGGCTGTAGGGGCATACTCATGTTAAATCAAGCTCCTTTGTGTGCTGAGCTAGCACAATTTTTGTTTGGTTTTTTGTTTTTGTTTTTTTTTTAAAAACACTTTTATGTGGGTATTTTTCCTGTCATAAAAATAGGTGAGAGAGACCAGTAGCAAAATCAGTTAGTATGTGCATTTTTTCAGCATTGTTTTTGATTCTTTAGCTGCAGTAAATCTGTAGATAGATAAATTCCACTGCTAAAAGAAATTAAATAAGGCAGTTAGCAATAAAGAAATATTTATTATTTTGTATATAAAATTAAACTTTAATGGAATATAATAAAATGCTAGCTGCTTCTATAATGTTCTTCAATTTAGGAGATACTGGCTTTGCAAACAGCTTACGCTCACAAGTATTGTCTTGCCTATTTTACTCATGGTTAAAGATCACTGTTGAAGTTTTGAAATAAAACCTTAAAGTACTCAAATATTTCCATATTTTTTTCTTTTTTTTTTTTTATCCCAATATTAAAACTTTGGTTTCTTGATGGGGGCAATAATTTTGTATTAGTGAATTGAAATATATTTAAGCAGTTTTTCTGTTATGTATGACTAGAAGAAAGGATTGGAACTGCTAGAGTTCATCAAGTGCCTTTAGTCAGCAAATAGTCTGCGGTGACAGTGTGCAAAAATTTTTAGGTCTCTTCTGAACTTTTGAGGCCAGAGATGTGTGGAGTACCTACCAGGCAATGGAAAGACATCATTCACCAGGACCCTGCCACCTGTAGAGGCTGGCACTGCTCTACCACTTTCATTTTAATAAGAGTTTTGAGCAGGAAAAGAACAGACTTTATCTACACTGAATGGAGCCCAAACCTAACTGTGTCTATGAGTCTGAACCCTTCCCATGTCATCCCATGCCAGCAGCAGCCCAGAGCATTGGCCGAAGGGCAAATTAGCACAAGCTTCTACAGCCTATGAACAGCAACGACTTGTCAGTGTTTGCTAAACATCCAGCTTGAAGCAGACATGGAGGCCTCTTCCCCTTTGACAAAAAACACCAAGCCATTGAACATAGCACTGGAAAGTGCAGTGGAGCACACAGCCCCTGTCCAGAATGCCAAGATGCACTTTCCTCTTGGTGCCAGATTCGTCAGGAGTATTAATTCATTATCATTTGACCTCTTGTGATCAGACCTGGCTTGTCTCTTTAAAATAATTGCAGGCTTCAGAATTTTTTTTTTTTTTCTTTCATTCTAAGGTAGAATTTAATGTTCCAATGACCTGGGTGTCTGCAATGATTCCTGCTTCTCCTCAGTCTGGTTGGCAGCAGTGGGAGGAACACCACACTGGTTATAGAGAGCTGTTAAGCAGCCTTAACTACCAACAGTGGAATGGGAACCATCCTATCCACTTGCACAGCCTCTGCAGTTTCATAAGCAATCTTTAGCTGTAACATGCCACTAAAACCTACATACCTTTCTCTTTTAAATAAGTACAGGATAACTGCATTCTTCACTGAGGCTAGGTTAATTTGGAAATGATTGTCTCTTAAGCTGAAGCATTTGTTCCTTTTATATTTTTACAGCACTTGCAGGAGCCCAGGATACTGATCTGTATCCGAGACCACTGGAAAAATACATTCAGGTCTTTCGGGAGATGGAATTCCCAAATATCCATAATTTAATCCCACCTTTATTTCACACCATCTGCCTGATATGGAGCCACTCCAAGTTCTACAGCATGCCTGCATGAATAGGAGTTCTGCTGCAGGAATTTTGCAATCTGCTTGTTGACCAGGTAGCTTCAAGTAAGGGTAATAAATCACATAAGTACCTGAAAAATAAATGTTAGTTGCTATTCAGTACTCCAATAACAAAGACATGGATTTAATCTTCTGTTAGCTGTCTAGTAAACCCCATAATTAAATTATAGATGCTTTCAACCAGTATTAGATTATTAAACTTGAAGTTGAACCGAATAATTAGTCACCAGCTATACCATTCACATACTGTGTATTTAAGAATGAAACACATTTCTTTTCTAGTGAAAGAAAACTATTCTTCAGAAGCCATATAACCTTTTCAGGTTGGGTTAATGCTCCTTACCTTCATTCCTTTGGGATAAGTTTGCTGCCTCTTTTGTTACAACAGTTCTTGGTAGGTATTTGCTTTTGTGAATTGCAAAATGCTGTTGAGAGCTGCGCAAATCAGGAAAATACAAGGTTTGCAAACGAGCTGTGAAGGAGCCACCTTGATGCATTTTCTGCCATCCTGCCATCAGTGAGCTTTCCCTGGGCTTCCACCGAAATCCACTGTTTTGGTGGGAGTAGGACAACTTCTAAATGCTGGCAAGCAAAGCCATTCTGTAGGATTCACTGTTCTGGAGGTACTTCTGTTTGTCAAGAAACAGGAGAATTCCCTTCAAGGCCAGCCTGTTGTACTTTCTGAACAGCCCTTACAATCCTCCCTTAGGAGCAGCAGGCAGGCAGTCTCCCCGACGTCCCCTGCCCAAGGGGACAAGGGTGCAGCTTCCAGGGTGACCCATGACTGGGGAGTGAGAGGAGCGACCAGATTCTCTTCTGTGAGAACAACTCCCAGGTCGTGCTTACAGAAGCAGGAGGAGGCTTGGCAGGGCTGATGCTGAACAGGAGCCTCCTGAGAGCACCTGGAGGAGTAAATCTGCTTTCTTTGTTACAGGCTTACAGCAGTATTGAAGTGGTGAGTGGGTACAGGGTACTTCATTCTTTTTTTAGGGGAAAAAAACTGTGGTGTGAACATCTGTGTGCTGGAGAAACCCTCTGTCTGGCAGGATGGGAACTGGATGCTTAGAGTTGTGCTTAGATTTGCTTGGAAAAGAAACTTGATCTGAAGAAATCATTCTGTTTCCCATGTCACACTACACTGTCAGATCTCCCATTTATTTTTACTTTGTCAGACAGCTGTTGTCACAGAATCACAGAATGGCAGGGGTTGGAAGGGATCTCCGGAGATCATCCAGTCCAACCACCCTGCCAAAGCACGTTCACCTACAGGAGGTTGCACAGGACATTGTCCAGGTGGGTTTTGAATATCTCCAGAGAAGGAGACCCCACAACCCCTCCGGGCAGCCTGTAAATCTATTATGCATGGCAAGGCCCCATATATGCATCTGTTATATATGGCAAGGCCCCATTTGCCACTTTTTTGACTTTGCACCATCTCCTTCCTCATGTGTTTAAGCTGGGCACTAACAGACTAACATAAAATTTTCATTGAAATTAATCTGAATGCCTGGCAAATTATTGCTCTCTGTTAGAAAGCAAATGCTGATGAAGGACAGAGCCCATGCATTCTGATCTCAGCCCAAAATAACAGGTTTTGAAGTGGTGCCAAAGTAAGGCTGGGAAAAAGCGCAGGCAAGAAGTACCTAGGAAGGGTGGCAATGTGAACTAGAAGAAGATGGCAGGGAGGAAATGGAATGAGAACTATGACCAGGAAAAGGTTTTTATTTCCCTCACCCCTCCCCTGCCAACCCTACCTGCATTGCATTAATTAAAGAAATTAACATCATGTGTTTGATGTGAATCTGTAACAAATGGAAGTTATACCAGTTTGGGATAAACTGATGAAGGAAAAACAGCAAAAAAACAACCTATAGTCCCATCCTCATCGCTGCTCCTCTTCTCCACCCAAACCGTGCTCCATGCAGACAGCGTTATCCATGGATCCTGGCTGTCTCTCTCAGATTATTCATGTTACTGTCCAGAATTACACACTAGGCACATATGTGTCCTAGGTTTGATTCTGGGTTTGGGGGAAGCCCTCTTCTGCTAATTTACTAAATGAAAAAAGCTAGAAGGGCTTGTGTTGGCACTTCTGTATGTGTTGGCACTACTATTCTACATGAGGATTAGTACCCAAAGACTATGGAGGTATTAGGGCAAACAGGTGAATATGTTTCCAATATCACTTTTATTGGGAAGAAAAAAGCCCCTTTACTCTGTTATTTCCTGAATGTTCACTGTGCAAAAGATGATGTGTAAGGGTCAGTCTAGCTGGTGGGAGCATGTGAAAATAGCTAAAACTACCTTAAAAAGCTTTAAGGATTCACTTTTTTAGTCACAGAAAGAGACTGGAGTGTTACTTCACCTGTGACAAGGAATTTAAGCAGATCTGAGATGTTGTTTTCCACATTTGATATGTTCCTCAACCGCTTACTGAAGATTGAGATATTACTTGTCATCCGTGTTGCTGGATAACTATAGTATCTGAGAAATATGGGCTGTTCTCAGTTAACAGAGAGCAAGACTCAGGTTTCTAATATCCAGATGCAAAATTACAGTCATAGGAAGAGTTAGGAGTGCTGAGTAGGATGCAAACATTGCATGCTGTGTGAGGAGCACACTAGTATTAGCAGTAAGAAAAATTACAAACGTTGTTTCCTAAATCCAGCCCTTCCCAGGGTTTTGAAAGTTGCTTGAGTAAAGTGCTGCTCTTCATATTGCAGCCCGTGGCTGGGACTTTCTCCTGAGCATGGCACCTGCAACTGTTTTTTTCTAAGAACTGAGGAGTCATCTGTCTGTAGCTAGAAAAAAATGTGACTAGTCCTTGCATGAAACAGAATACTCCTCGCCTCTCCTTTTAAATCTCTGCCAACAAGCAAGAAAAGATGAAAAATCTGAGGTCAGGAAAAGAGTGCAGAATATTTTTCTAATACTGTGGTTATGGTGGTTGTGTAGGATGGGAGCAGTTATAGGTTCTGGTTCCTGCTCCTGGGGCCTTTTTTTGTGCTTTTGTGAATCTGGAAGCAGTTGCAGTAGGAGTCTAGACTGGCTGCTGATTAGGGTGCCCTTCTGGGAAATGGGAGATTTTTGGGTTCTGAGCTGGAAAATTATGTACTTTAGCTCTGCAATTACTTAGCTAGCGTGCCTCTCTATCCCACCCACCCCTTTAAAATACTATCAGAGAGTAAGAAATCCAGTCTTACAGTGCCTGACAGTGCCTACCAGAGCAATCTCTGAAAGGGATTTGGGGTGAATGCGTTGGCTTTTGGCTGTCCGTTGGCAGACAGAGAGGTGGAGGTGCTCTGGCCAGGGGTAGCTGTAAATGCTTAGGAATAGCATCCTGTGCCAACTGTATGAGGTTCAACAAGGCCAAGTGCCGGGTCCTGCGCTTTGGTCACAACAACACCCCACAACGCTACAGGCTTGGGGAAGAGTGGCTGGAAAGCTGCCCGGCGGAAAAAGACCTTGGTGTACTGGCTGACAGCCGGCTGAGTATGAGCCAGCAGTGTGCCCAGGTGGCCAAGAAGGCCAATGGCATCCTGACTTGTATCAGGAATAGTGTGGCCAGCAGGAGTAGGGAAGTGATCGTGCCCCTGTACTCGGTGCTGGTGAGGCCGCACCTCAAATACTATGTTCAGTTTTGGGCCCCTGACTACAAGAAAGATGTTGCCTTGCTGGAGCATGTCCAGAGAAGACCCACAAAGCTGTTGAGGGGTCTGGAGCACAAGTCCTACGAGGAGCAGCTGAGGGAACTGGGGTTGTTTAGTCTGGAGAAGAGGAGGCTGAGGGGAAACCTTATTGCCCTCTACAACTGCCTGAAAGCAGGCTGTAGTGAGGTGGGGGTCAGCCTCTTCTCCCTGGTAACAGACGATAGGACAAGGGGAAATGGTCTGAAGTTATGACAGGGCAGGTTTAGGTTGGACATTAGGAAAAATTTCTTCACAGAAAGGGTTGTCAGGCTCTGGAATGGGCTGCCCAGGGAGGTGGTCAAGTCCCCATCCCTGGAGGTATTTAAAAGAAGGATAGATGAGGTGCTTAGGGACATGGTTTAGTGGTGGGATGGCAGGGTTAGGTTAACGGTTGGACTTGATGATCTTAAAGGTCTTTTTCAACCTAGACGATTCTATGATTCTGTGCCAGCAGTTTTGCAAGCGTGGCTGCTTGCGCCCATCAGGAGCATCGCCTACAGCCGCAGCACACGAACGCACGCTTGCTGGCAGCCTTGATTCTTGACAATCAGACGGTCCCACAGAGAGCCCAGCCCCGTGCAAGCAGGTCCCTTCAGGGTGAGGTGGCAGCTAAGTCCTTCTAGATCATAATACCGAGCCTAAGGGGTCTGCAGTCCAGAGGACCCTGCTTGGGCAACCCATGACTGGTTTGCTCCTGAAGAGAATAGGCATCACACATTTCTAAACACCCAAGGAACCTGTTATTTTCATGCCTTGGGGGCATAAAACAATTACTTCATTCAAGTGAAATCAGAGGCCATAGAAATTAATTTGGCACATATTACGAATGAGGTTAAAGTGGGTTCAATTTTACTCTTCTGAGAAAGATTTATGATTTATTTTCATAGCGAAGTTTTGTGTTATGATAACAAATCATGCGTTTATACACAAAAGTATGTGTTTAGTAGTGCTTGCTCTTTCTTATCTACACCTTTTTAAATTTAATCTGATAAAATTAAAGTGGAGTTAAATGTCTATGTTCTGTAGGACAATTAATTTCCACTTGTGTTTTAATCCTATAAGTGACTCAACCAGGATGAAGCCATGCTGGAATTACCTGTTGCTCCTCCAACTTCTTTTTCATATTAATTATTTAAGATGACACAGGTTTTAACCTGCCAAACCGGAAGAGAGGAGGTCAAATGATGCAAAAAATAATCTCAAATATCAGGTTTGTTACTGTTTTTCTTTTTTTGTAGAGGCATACCGTTAATTAATTTTTATTCATTTGATCTCAGAAATGGTCATTAACATGTTGGAAT